TGAATGGAGTATTTATAAACGGCCTGAGCATGCATAAAGCATCAGTATCTGACCCTTTCTTGCCCCCTAGAAATTTGAATAAATGTTCTGTATTACAAAAAAAGAAAAAGAAAAAGAAAAAAATCACTGGCTCAGCGCGCCCCAGGGGCGGGGCTCACACAGCATGCCAGAGATGGAACCTGATTATGCATTCTATGGTGTCATTTAGCATGTTCTTCTGTCCTTAGTATTTTAGTAACTGGATGATGTGATCTGGTTTAGGTTCACTTTTACAGCTGAATATGCATCTGGTGTTCATGTTTGTGTTTCTGGAGTCAAAATATGATGTTGGGTTGGTGCCTCTGATGTTAGTAGCTGTTGGCAGTCCTCATCTGGGTCATTTTGTTTCTCATTGGAAGGGATGTGCATTTTGTAAAAGATCACTTGAGTGACAGGTGTGGGGAGGGGCAGGGTTGTGGTGACATGGTGGAATAATGGTACAACAAAGCACCTACCAGGTGACACACTGTTGTTCTTGCTGTTAGAACTAGGCTGGGGGAACCCACGTCCTGAGCTCACAAACATTCTCTGGCCCAGGCTGTCTCTTCCTCCTCCTTTGGCCCTGGAGGGGAAGTCAGCAGCGCCCGGGATCTGAGAGGCATGTTCTGGAGTGCGGCTGCCACTTGTGTGCCCCTGGTGCAGCTCCTTCAGGGAAGGAAGGCTGGCGTCCCCCTCGTGCGGTGCTTGCACCAGACTGTGAGTGTCCTGCCCCATCACTGTGCCTCCCGCATGGCCTGGGGTTCCTGTGGTCTGGCGTGGTCTAGCTTGGTCTGGCTTTGAAGCATGGGAAGCTTCCCTGACTGCAGCCCTCCCTGGCCTTTGCTTCTGAAGCCTGGACCTTGCAGCTCCACACTGAGTCATTGCTGCCTCCCCATTGTCCCTGGGGTCCAGCCCCACAGCTCATATGCAGTCGGTGCCCCACCATGTTGGTTACCCTCAAACCCGAGAACAGGCACTGTTCTCTCATTTATCTGAGGCGCCAGGTGCCACTGCTTACGGTCAGGCCCCTGAGCACCCGTGTTTCCGGCAGTCCCATTATTTCCATCATTTTCACAAACCCATTCCACTCTGCTCTCTGTCTGTCTGCCCTGCGCCTGCTCCCTGTCTGCCTGGACGCTGCGCCACCAGCTCCTCCCTCCTTCACTCTCCTCCCCCTTACCTCCTCCCCCTTTACTCTTCTCCCTGCGGCATGCCTGCCCCCACGCAGTGTGTCTGTCACAGCATCCATAGAATCCAGTTACTACTGATTGTACAACATGCTGCGACCTCAGGGCTTAGTCAAAGAAATGCCAGTGGAACTACAGCCACAGATCAGCTTGGAATACAAACTTGATTTCAGAGAAAATGCAGCATGAAAAAAAACCACATATCAGATTAAAATAATCTGCTCCTCATATGCAAACACTAGGAACCATAAAATCAGACGCAGGAAGCAAAATCACTTTTGTATAATCCCAACCCCCAAAGGTAAGCTTTGCAGGCATTTTTTTCCCAGATATTTTGATAAATTTCTTTCTTTCTTTTGATAAATTTCTTGCCAAGCTTTTTTTTTTCTTACTCACATATTATCATAGAAAACATGTCTGGGGCTGGTGAGATAGCTCAGGCATCTAAAGTGCCTGCATAGGCAAGCACAGGCAAGTGAGCAGGGACGTTGGTTTGATACTCAGCACCCCCAGGGTGGGCTGAGCCATCCCCCCCC